CTGTGATAATAATGCTTTGAGTTTAATCCACAGGAAACTGTGGCTGCCAGGCTTTCTGTTTCACTCTTGCGTCACACCCAACTACTACCTGCAGACAAGGCCTTCTATGAAGCAGGCATTGCTGCCAAGGTAAGCTGGGACAGGAACGGTGGGGCTGAAGAGAGGAAATCAAAGGTTGGAATACTGAGAATATGCCTTCTGCTCAGGTAGAGGAAAGCTGGGTATGGGGCTGATGTTATGGAGGACATAGTCCTCCTATATCTTGCTAGGTTTTTCTCCCTGCATGCTAGAGAAGTAGCAGCCAAGCCCAGCCTGTTCACTCCCATTTGCAACTTTTCCCTATCGCAGGCAGTTGGCTGGGAAAACATGGCATTCATCTTCCTCAATCGCTTTTTGGATCTGACTGATGTGAGTAGGAAAGCTGTGCCCAGAGGTTGGGAGGTTTTGCCTGTCACAAGCTGTGCCTGACTCAGGGTCACTCACTATACTGCAGGCAATTGAAGAAGGGACTCTGGATGCCCTTGATCACTCTGATTTTCAGGACACAGACATTCCCTTTGAGGTGCCACTGCCAGCCAAGCAGCATGTACCGGTAAGGGCATGGGGTTGGAAAACAGGAAGACCTCACCAGTGTGAGCACACTGAGGGCCCTCACTATTCCTTCAGTGAAAGCAGAAGCAGAGTAGAAAGGTAAGGCTGCGACTGTATCCCCCAGTCCAAGGAGGATCGTTTATGGCTGACAGCTGGTATGCACAATGAGGGCTTAGCAATCTTCCTGCCACCTCCACTTTCCCTGCCTCGTGTGAAACTGCCGCTCCCTCTGTCCTTCCAGGAGGCTCAGAGAGAAGAGGTTCGAGACTGGGTGCTCACAGTCTCAATGGACCAGCGGCTGGAGCAGGTTCTGCCTCGGGATGAACGTGGTGTCTACGAGGCCTCCCTGGTGGCCGTGAGCACTGGAGTTCGGGCCCTGCCCTGCCTCATTACAGGTATGACCCCATATCCTGTGGCAGGTGGAAAGAAGTAGGATCAAGAAATTTTATTTTATTACAACTCAGTAAAGGGTGCAAAAGACAAGCCCATGCTACTAATCCCAGGTTGCTCTTTATTTTTTCCTCCTCAATCTCTCTCAAACCCCAGTTCATCTTTTTTCTTCCCCCACAGGATACCCGATTCTGAGGAACAAAATTGAATTTAAGCGGCCAGGGAAGGCTGCTAACAAGGACAACTGGAATAAATTCCTTATGGCCATCAAGGTTAGAGAGGGGAACTTGAAGGATGAGGGCAGAGAGAGCAGTACTGAAAAAAAACCACTAGAAGTGTGGGTGGGATTATCAAGAAGGCATTAAAGACCCTGAACCCTGCTCCCTGTGACATTGCCAAGGAGCTGATTTTCTTTGTATCAGGAATGTTTTCCCAGCATTAATGAGTTCCTCTCCTGTTCCTTCCATTTGCTCACAGACTTCCCGCAGCCCAGTGTGCCAGGACGTGCTGAAATTCATCAGTCAGTGGTGTGGAGGCCTCCCCAGCACCAGCTTTTCCTTTCAGTAATTGGTAGAGCTGAGGAGTTGGGACCTCTCATTAAAATTTTATAAATAATTGAGACCACTGTATTTTATTAGAGTCACCCCAACACCAGCATAGTGCCCTTCCCCCCACTCCATCCCCGAAAGGAATCATGATCAAGTAGTCAAAAAGTAGTTCTTTTATTACGATTGTTTATATCATCCTGAGGTCAGGGCCCCTTGCTTCGTGGAAAATCCTGTGGACTAAGCCCCGGAACAACACCTGCTTGACAGAGGGGAGAACCAGCCGGGGTCAGAAGGGGAACAGCATAGCAGACCCAGGCCCAGTTCTAAGAGCACTTCCCTGCCCCTACTCTTACCTGGGCCACCACCCTCCTGGCCCATTACCTGGCTTAAACCCAACTTTTCCGTGATGCCTGGATTCCTCGATTTTGATCCAGTAGCTGCTCATTTTCCTGCTTTTTACATTTAGGAGGTTCAAGCTCTGTCAGTTCTTCTAGCTACAGAAGAAGGGAGTCAGACACCTTGGCCCTCAAATGATAGATCAGCATCTTTTCAACACAGCCAACCTGTGTTGAATCAGCCCAGCCCTTTCTGTTCATCTTCCTTACCTGCTCCTGAAGCCCTTCCTTCCTGCAGGGCCCCACTCCACGTAGGGTGAGTGCAGCCACACAACAGTAGCCAGATAGAGCAGCCTCCCCTGCAGACATGAGCAAAGAAGGGATCCAAAGAGCCAAGGCTGTTTCCTGAAAAGCAAGGAAGGAGGAGACTGAGAGAGAGTGGGGCAGGAGCAGCAAATAGGGGAAATCCAAAGGGCTTTGTGGACCGGAAGAAGGAAGAGAATATGCTTACATAGATTCTTGTGGGGTCAAAGGGGCAGTCAGTGTGTCCAGGCCCCTGGTCCAGTGGTATTGAAGGATCCAGCAGTCCTGGATGGCAGTCAGCGATAAGACGGCGGCCACCGTTGGCCACAGTGAGCGACACAGCAAGGAGGAGGCCCAGAGAGCAGGCAGCGGACAAGAGCAGGTTCCCCAGAGCTAGTGCCAGCAGGGCCCAGTGCTGGCAGGAACAGGAGACCCGGTGAACAGCCTAGGCCTGGCTAACTCTCCCAATGACTAGACGCCCCCCTTTCTCCATTCGAGGCTCCTCTCATCCACTGACCAAGTTCAGTCAGACCCCATTTCCCTGACTCAAGGTCGCCTCCTTGCAAGCTCCCGAAGCCCCTTCTCACCAGTGGTGGGCGAAGAAGGTTCCTGGATGCCAAGAGGGCCACGAGTCCCAAGGAGACGGTCTGCGGAAGACACAAATCCTTTGGCCCGCTGGGCTCCGCGCGTCGGGCCCCACCTCCGCCCCCGCCCCCGCGCTCACCAGCAGCCCAGAGCCGACGGAGATGACATTGGCTGTGGTGTACTCCGGTGTGACGGCGCCTCGGGGATTGGCCACGTGCCGCAGAACGGTGCCGTGCAGCACGGCCCCCAGCAGCAGGTTCACGTGGCCCACCAGGATCAGCGCGAGGCCCACGCGCATCAGGCGCCGGGGCCCCCGCGCAGCGTCTGCAAAGCATGGGGAAAGGGCAGG